TACAGTTATGAAGTAGCAATGAAAATAATTTTATGGTTGGGGGTCACCACAACATGAGGAACTGTATTAAAGGGTAGCGGCATTAGGAAGGTTGAGGACCACTGATCTAGTATCTATTCTGGGCCGAAGTTACTTGATACTGCCAGGCCTGGGTGACTCAGTGGTTGAGCATTGACCTATGAACCAGGTCACGGTTCGATCCCAGGTCAGTGCACATGCCTGAGTTGCAAGCTCGATCCCCAGTGTGAGTTGTGCAGGAGGCAGCTGATCAATGATTCTCTCTGATCATTGATGTTTCTTCTTCTTCTTTTTTAAAAAATAACTATATATATTGATTTTGGAGAAGGGAGATGGAGAAATAGAAACATCAATGGTGACAGAGAATCATTGATTGGCTGCCTCCTGCACGCCCCATAATGGGGATCAAGCTTGCAACCCAGTCATGTGCCCCGACCTGGAATTGAACCCATAACCTCCTGGTTCATAGGTCAACACTCAACCACTGAGCCATGCTGGCCGGTCATTATTGGTGTTTCTACCTCTCTCTCCCTCTCCCTTCCTCTCTGAAATCTATAAAAATATATTTTAACAAGTTGATACTATTGACAAATTATCTTCCACAGTTGTTTCCCAAACACAGATTTAATCTTGCCAATCCTCTACTTAGTCATTTTCAGTGTCCTCATTGCCTACAGAACCTAGTTCTATCTCCCTGGCAGAGCATTGCATTGTCCCTCGTAACTTGACTCCTCTCTGTGTTTCAACATCTTTCTACTCTCTTCCATCTTCCTGTGCTTCAGCTACACCAGACAACTTGTCATCTCTTAACATATTATAACATCCCATGCTACCAGGTCTTTGTTCTGGCTGTTCCCTTTGTATTTTTTTTTTAAATATATTTTATTGATTTTCTTACAGAGAGGAAGGGAGAGAGATAGAGAGTCAGAAACATCAATGAGAGAGAAACATCGATCAGCTGCCTCCTGCACACCCCCTACTGGGGATGTGCTCGCAACCAAGGTACATGCCCTTGACGGGAATCGAACCTGGGACCCTTGAGTCTGCAGGCTGATGCTCTATCCACTGAGCTAAACCGGTCAGGGCGTGGCTAAAATTTGCTCATCCTTTAAAACCCAGTTCAAAGGCCACTGAGAAGCCTTTTCTAACTTCCCATCTAACTATACTAGCATGGCACTTACCACATTACAGTTACTTCCCTGTCATCTCCATAACACTATGCTGAATTCCTTGAGGACAGAGTCTCTGTCTTATGGTGGTAGACATGTGTTGTTTTTGCCTGCTTAACATTCAACTTTTTCTGAGAACCATATTCTGATTTTCCTTTGGAGAAACATCCCTCCCCTCCCTTGTTCTGGTGAATGAATGTGACTCCAGGGTGAATATATGACCTAGGTCTAGTAGTCAATCAATGCATCCTACACCAGTACCATAGTGATTGGTCCAGTGGAGAGTTGCTGAACCAAGGAGGACCAATCAGGGTCAACTAGGAATTCTGCTGGAATTGCTAGGCCAGAGAACTCTTGGAACTCACACAACAGCACTTTCATCATGTCCCATTGGTCAAAGAACTTGTGGCCATTATTTTAAACTGCTTCATTCTATCCTCTGGTCTCATGCAAAATATATTCAACTTCTTCCCAAGGCTCCATTACAACACCAGGCTCAGGCTTGAAGTCCAGAATTACATCTAAACCAAATCTGTGCATTTGAGGCTCTTCAGGTTTAGTTCCATGGCTGTTCTCAATCTAAAGACTTCAGAAGTAAACAGATAAGTTATTTACTCCCACTCCCCTCCCCCCCACACACACACCTAGACAACTACAATAGAGGTTCTGGTTCAAAAGAGAGGAAATGAGAGCCCACAGCAAGTACTGGTTAGAGCAATTCGAACTCCAGCTGGGCACATGTTGCCAGTTCCTTGACCCAATATTGGTCCAATATTGCTTCCTGGCAATGATTCTCTGTGGCTCTTAACTCCACTCTCTGGTTTTGCCTCTGAGTCATCTTTTTCTCCCCATAGGAACTAGCCCAGCTGTGGGCAAACTACGGCCCGCGGGCCAGATCCGGCCCATTTGAAATGAATAAAACTAAAAAAAAAAAAAGACCGTACCCTTTTATGTAATGATGTTTACTTTGAATTTATATTAGTTCACACAAACACTCCATCCATGCTTTTGTTCCGGCCCTCCGGTCCAGTTTAAGAACCCATTGTGGCCTTCGAGCCAAAAAGTTTGCCCACCCCTGCACTAGCCCATCTTGCCTATGAGTAGTTTTCTCAGCCTGCTTACACTCATAGAAATTTAGGAGTCCAAAAGCCTCTTCATTTTCCACTGTTTCTGTCCCTTTTAGTTTGAGCTTGTGGTGCTTCTACCAATACAACTGTCTTGAAAACTGCGATTTTTCTATGATGTTTTCGGGAGTACTCCATTTGACAAAAGTCACACATAAATCTCTTTAAGACAAGGACTTTTCTATCTGGGACTCCTAGTGTAGCTGCTGAGGGGTAATCTATCTACACTAATAAAAGACAAACATGCAAATTGACCATACCTTTGCTACACCTTAAGCCACGCCCACCAGCCAATCAGAGCCACTCTATGTATATTAACCCAACCAAGATGGCGGCCAGCAGCCACGGAACTGGAGCAAGCAGGAGGCCTGGTTGCCCCAATGATGGAGGAAGCCAAGCTTCCTATCTGCCGGGCCAGCTCTGAGCTCCACTAAAAGCAACAAAGTTTCAATTATAGAAGTAAATAAATCCCAGAATAAAAATAAAGAGAGAGAGAAAGGAGAGGCTGGGAGCTTCTGTCGCCTGGGGGAGGGGGAGGGTTGGCCAGCCCCTCACCCAGACTGGCCAGGAACCTGAGTGGGGACCCCACACCCTAAAGGGGGTGTGGCCAGCCTGAAAACAGCCATCAGCCCCTCACCCAGGCTGGCCAAACCTCCAGGGGGTGGGGGTTCCCACTGGGGGGTGGGGAGGCTTGACCAGCCTGCAAACAGCCATCAGCCCCTCACCCAGACTGGCAAGGCACCCCAGCAGGATGCCCACCCTGACACCCTTTAGGGATCAGGGCAAACCAGCCAGCTCCCACCTCTGCAGCAGGCCT